AGAAATTCAGGGATTAAGTTGTGTTCAGCTGCTTGTGCGTGTGTTTTTCTGAATGATGGAATTTGCCATTTCATGCAAACAATTTGTTCTATTTTGGGTCTTTTGATTTATCTGTTGTATCAAGCTTTCAGAATGAGAAGTGGTGATCTTTTTTGTCACTGTCCAGACTTGGGCTTGTTGATGAGGTCAATTTTGAACCTTCTCGAGGATCATGAGTTTTGATGTTAGTTCAAATATTGATTGTTTTGTTAGTATGCTTTGATAACTAGTAATATTTCAACTTCAAAATAAATCAGCAAAAATAGCGGAATCCTGTGTTTCTGATTAAATTATTTTTCAAAATGTTCCATTTAAAATCTGCGTCATCTGTTCAACTCAAACATTGAAACGTTGATAGCAAAAATCGGCCCAAAGTATTGTTCAAAGTCTGTGCCGTTTCCTTATTTCCTATTAATAATTCCCCACTCTCGTGCTGTAAAGGACCAATTCTCATTCCAGCAACTCATTTTTACTTAGTTTCTTTCTGCTTGTAAAAGCTTTAACCATCTTGCTTTTATATTTATTGCTAGTTTACCTCAATTTCACCCTCTTGATTACAAATCAGCAGAGTATTGCAAAAAAAAAACTCAAGTTTTCCAAACAGACTATCGGTAATCTTTGACAATAGATAACAAGGTGTAGAGCTGGATGAACACAGCCGGCCGAGCAGCAAAACTGACGTTTCGGGTCTGGACCCTTCTTTAGAAACGAAAATCTTTGCTGCATTGTGTGCCTTTTTATTTCAATTGATAACATCCTTAACTTCCTTAGTTGCCCAAGGTGGTGCATCCTTCCCTCATTTTTCAGTGAAATTATTGAGAGTTCTGAATGTCTCCTTAAGTATTTGTCATTGCTGTTCTGCCATTTTACCTCGACCTAATTGAAATGGGAAAATAGGTTAACTGTCGTTATATCAAAATAATTTTGTTTATTTATGTTGAAGCCACAAGTTTCAGTTCCACACTTCTCATCCTCAGAATTTTACATTTAATTATTCTTACCTAGGGATTTCTTTACTATGACTGCATTAATTAATCCTGCCTCCTTACACACTACCAGGTCTAAAGTAGCCAGTTCCTTTCCAGTATGCATTTTACAAGAAACTATCCTGGTAATGTTCTACAAACTTCTTCTCTAGGCTACCTTTACTAATTTGATTTGACCAATGTATATGAAGGTTAAAATCTCTCTCGATTATTACAATACATTTTTTACAAACTCCCATTATTTCTTGACTTGTTATCTGTCCTACACTGTAGCTACTATTAAGGGGGCCATAAACTACTCCCACCAGTGACGACTTTCCTTTGCGTTTTCTCTTCATGAAAGTTGATGTATGTGTTGATTCTGCGAATCAAGGTCGTTTCTGACTCCTTTACTGTTCTCATCCTTTATGAATAGAGCAACCTTACCTCCTTTTCCTTTTTTCTTCACTTACAAAACCTCAAAAGCCTTTGAGTATTCAGGACCCAGCCGTTGGCAACTTTGCAGTTATGCCTTTGTGATGGTTGTTACATTTTTGTTTCTACTCCTAGTTCATCTATCTTGTTATGAATGTTCATGTATTCCGATGAAGAGCATTAATAAGTGCTTGGAGATCACGTTTAACAGTCTTGCCTTCAAACTACTTTTTCTATGCTTGCCTTATTTGTTAATGCACTGTAACATTCACCACAAAATTAAAATAGACAGCAGTGAGAAAGATGGATATAATATGGAATGTAAACCAAGAGTTTGAAGAGAAAAGGGGAGGTGCGACAGCACTTTGTAAGAGAGAGGAATGGGAGCAGGCTGTTTGGAAGCATTTAATTAGATCATCTATCTCAACATTTTCCTGTGCTATCCCCATACCCTTTGTCAGTAATGTCTGGAAACCTACCTACCATCTGCCTAAAACTTCCACAGCACTCTAGGGTGAGGAATTCCGAAGGTTCTCTCTCATTGCAGATGTAATTGGCCTACTTCTTATACCAAGTGTACCTCTTAGTTCTAGACTGTTTCAATCAGGGGAAGTATTCTTCCTGTTATCAAACCTGTTGACTTCTGTAAGAATTTGTTTGTGTTTTAAATCAACTCTGTGTCATAGATGTATATTGTGAGTAGGGGGCAATACACCAATTAAAATGTTAACTGCTTTTGAGCCCATGAAGAGTTATCTGAATAGAATAGGATCAAGACATTAAGCAGTGTGCTTCAAGGATGGAAATAATGTGAGGAAAATGGGAGAAATGCATTTAGGGCTAAGAGCAAATCTTGGAAGTTCTACTCGGTTTGAAGGCAAGACTGTTAAATGTGACTTCCAAGCACTTGTTGGAAATGAGTTGGGGTTGAGGGGAAGGGATTTGCGTGGGGGAGCCGAAGAGGATCTGAGGAGATGGTTGTTCGTAAAGAAAATAAATGGGCTTTGCTTTCCAGGATGATCTTTAAATAGTGGCTAATTTTGCCAGACAAGAACAGGGCCTGGTATTGCTTGTTGTAATCTGGTAAGATGTAGCAACGGATGTCTAAACTTGATTTGCACCTGAAAAGGTCTAGACTGACATTTTGACTGAGAAAAGATCAGGGCCACTTAAGGAGTGTGGACTAGAGTGGGAGAGAGTAAAGATTTTCCTGGTGTCAAGAGCTTCAAAGGTGAAAAAGAGCGTGAATGGGCACAAGTGTTACAGGGAAGGAAGAGTCAAGAAACAAGCTTTTTGAAATTTGAAACTGTGCTTGTAAATGACTGGAATTAAGAGTCTAATGATGACCATGAACCCATTGTCGATTGTCAGGAGAACCCCATCTGGTTCACTAATGTCCTTTAGGGAAGGAAACTGCCATCTATACCTGGTCTGGCCTACATGTGACTCCCAGACCAACAGCAATGTGATTGACTCTGATTCTGACTCTCACTCTGAACTGCCCTCTGGGCAATTAGGGATGGGCAGTAAATGCTGCCTAGCCAATGACGCTTTCATCTTGTTAATAAATAAAAATAAATTGGTAGCTGCAGCGTGTTGAGAGTTAGAAGTAGGAAGTGAATGTGTATGGCAAAGGATACAAGAGAGTTTTCAGAGATCCCTCATATGAATTGAATTAGCTTTGCACTAAATTAGTTTTGTTGTCACGTACTCAAATGAGTATAGTGAAATGTTTATAAGTCACCACTTACAATGCCAACTTAGATACAGCTGTGACTAAGGATTGTGCCTAGGTGCTGAATAGACAAATGAAGGAAAAAAAGTAACACTACTGCCATGAACAGTATGACTGTAGATCAGAAAAAAATAAGAAGCAAAAGACAAACGTCACAGTCTCTCTCCAAAGGCTGTCTGCAGCGGACCAACACGGGGTCTCCACGTAGTCTGACCGCTGGCTGCCGCTATCCCAGCTCCCACACCAAGCTACTGCTGTCACGCTCCCACACCGTGCCACTACCTCCACTCTGCACTGGGTCGCTGCCGCTGCACTCCACACTGGGCCACTGGTCACTAGCATCCCTGCTCCCGCCAGTGGCTGGCATCCCTGCTCTGGCTGCTGGCCTCTCTGCCAACCCCGCTTTGGAGGCTGGGGCTAGGTGTCCATGGCAGAGCAAAGGGGGAGAAGGGAGATCGGGTTGGGGGGGAGAAAGGAAAAATAACGGGCGGAGCGGATGAACTCCGATTGGAGCATCTTGCTCTGCTGCCATCTTACCAGATAAACAAACACATTTTTTAATGGAATAGCTACAAATTTTTAATTCAACTGTTGAAAGTAGATAGGATAATATTTTTACAGATAAGTCCTACAGGTCAGGTATGGTCCAAAGAAGATCTGGTTTAGGTTTTACTGAAGATTTAGATCTGGGTCTTTTCTTTTAGAAAGACCTGTTAACATTGGGAAATGGGGCAAATTGCCTTCTGGTTTGGAATGTTGAGAGTTGTTTTCTTTGGAATGTTGATTGTTTTAGAATGTTACGGGTTAGGGAGCAGGGTTTTTAGAGCAGGTTGTTGAATGTAGATTGTCCTGAATTCTCTAGTGAGATGGACATTCAAAATAAAAAGATTTTTTTTCAGATTTTTTTGTCAGAGTGTCATCAACAAGGGAAAGGACTCGAGGAAGATGGCATTGTTGTAATAGTATTGAGCTAACACAAGTACAGCAAAGATGTGCACAGTATCGAGTGCTCTTGTCGTTTGAATGCTTGTGTCTGTGTCATTTAAATATTGAACCATACTGATACAGTTCATATGAAGTAGCAAAAAATGTTCTCTAAGTACTTACGTATGTGATATATCCTCATTCCATTCACTTTCCTGTCTATCATATTTGGATAATTGCCTGTGATTCTTTCAAATTCCTGTTTTCATAAATTTATAGTTGCTACGAGGCAGTCTGGTTCTGCCAGTACTTCTCATTTAAAGTCTGCTTTCAAGAGGCAGTCAGGAAGTAAATCTGAACTAGATAAAAGCCAAAGTATAGACATAAAGGAAGGTTAGAAAAATAACATAACTTGTGGTTTTAAGATGTGTTAATTTGGCATTTAACAGAATTGACTGTAGGAGTTCAGTATCAATTATTTGGAGCTGGGGATCAGAGGTAGAACAAGTATGTACTTAACATATTGAAAGGAGGAGAATAATGAAACAGCATGGTCTTGAAAGAATACCCCTAAACAGTACTTGTCACAGCTCGTGGAAAGTCTGAAAAAAGGATTCTCAAATAGAAAAGTTCAAAGTTTGATTTGTTTCATAAAATGAAATGTAATGCTGCCAGCAAATTCCCAGTAATGGATTTGTGGATCTCGCACAAGATAATTGTTTAAATATTGGATTTTGGAATAGTCCTTTCAGAGAACTAAATTGTATTAGTGCCAGATAAAATGTCACTGGCATCTGATACAAATTTAACGAGAGACAGTTTACATTCAAACACTTGTATTTGAATTTTAATGCTTGCTAATCTGGCTAATTTTATTTGAACTGAAACCTATTTTATTCCAGCACTGATCTGAAATCTGAAGGAAGCTCATCATCCTCTACTGCCTCCTCGGGGCCACCTGCCAAAGTCTGTCTGGTTTGCTCAGATGAAGCATCTGGATGTCATTACGGTGTTCTTACATGTGGCAGTTGCAAAGTTTTCTTTAAGCGAGCTGTAGAAGGTAAGAATGAGTCATTTTCTAGTGTGTTTGTGCACTTCAGACAACTGTTCTTGTCAATCTTATTTATTGTAGCTTCTATAAAAAAAGAGATACTGAGTGCAAATAAATATCCAATTCTGAATCCATACTGACCAGCTTTGTAAAGGTAAAGGCACTACAGAGGGGGGAGAAAAAGCATTGAAACCAAGGACTTTGGGTTAAGATTTTCAGTGCTTTTGTTAATGAGTTGATTGTCAAACATGATACCTTGATCATTGCTTTAGGAAGATGAGGCATGAACTCTGGCAATAGACTTTGCAAAATATGGATGCCACTAATGATACTGGCCTTTAAAGCCTCAAAGTTAGTCTGCCATACAAATGATTCTTTGGTCATCTGGGGATAATCTCTGGTCAGAAAGCCTGTTTGTTAGTAACAACAGTTACAACTTTCATCTGTTGTTAATGTTGTAAAATGCTCCAACGTGATTGATTATAATTGTTACCAACTGAAATTAGACAGAACCACAGTGAGAGATAACAAGGCAAAAGGCCAAAAGTTTGGTCCAAATAGTAGTCTTGCAAGAGAGAAAAGAAGCTAATGGAGGGATTTCTAGAACTTCAGGCTTTGGCCCCTAAAGGCACAGCTACCAAGTATTAAAAAATCATTTGAGATAGTAGGAACTGCAGATGCTGGAGAATCTGAGATAACAAGGTGCAGAGCTGGATGAACACAGCAGGCCAAGCAGCATCAGAGGAGCAGGAA